CTTGACGCTGTATGCACTGCAATTAAGTAGCCTGAGTTCGAAATGCTCTTGAAGTATGATCTCTAAGTAAATCTTATGCAACAAACTTGTGAAAAAATAGAATAAAATAAAAAATAAAATATCTCGGTATTATGAACTTCGATTGTGGGACGTGGAGACCGGTCCTTTGGATGAGATCGTATAAATCGAGGTCCCTTGTCGCAGAAGGTGCTGGCATAAAAAAGATTCCCAACTGCTCAATTGCGATAAATGCCAAAGTATAGGACAAAAATTTGCAGTCTCCACCGGCGAGTGGTGGCGTCTCCATGTGAGTGAAAAATTCTGGAGAGGGACGTTAAACAACATACGTATAATCAATCAATCGATTGCTGAAGAATTACTGTAATTGAATAATCTGTCTTATAGGTCTGCTGTCAAATCTTGATATTATAACTTTACAAAACTCAGTGACTTTACATTTAATGTGATACTAACTTAATTCATTATATTTTTTTATACCACCATCACAATTATGCCTAAACATACACACTGTGAAGTTTATGATAGTACGGTGTTCGTTCGTCTGTTTGTTTGACTTAGAAATGATTGCAAACAATTTTTTGTTAAATTGCTAATGATATACGTATATCTCTTATAGGTGCCAAATGTATTATACAAGATTGATAATGAAAATCAAAGTACCTTAAGTACTGACAGGACTTTTTTCTTTCACAGTAAATATGATACGTATGTTTTTTACACAGAAAAAAGAAAATTCTTACAGATTTAGAAGAACGGAAGACTTTTTTGTTGCCATGGCAACAAGAGTCTAGTTATTATTATTATTATTCCTCCCAAATTTTGTGAGCGCGATTACTCAGAGATGGTTGGATAGATTTTCACAATTTTTCACATGATAGTAGGCTGATATATGAAGTTTATATAAAATTCCCTTTTTTGAAAAATTCACTTCCGGTCCGAAGTTACGGCCGAATTTCCAATTTTTAAATGGACTTTTGTCCGGAATTTTTCTCGGAAACGGTTTGAGATAAAGATGTGAAATTTACAGGGGTATTAGATCATGACATTCTCTTTGTTTCGAAGTTGTTTTCGTGTGTTTCCGGTACTTCCTGTCCGAACCGGAAGTGAACTTGTGTTTGGTCAATTTTCAACTTTTTTGTTTTTTAATATTTTTTCAAGATATTATTATGTATAACAGAGGTTATTCTACAAATACTAAATATATAATTTGTTTTGAAATCAGATTCCACATTTTGTAGATTTTCGGTACCCTCATTTTCCCTATTTACCTAGTGTGTAGACAATGGGCAAAGAAAGATAACTCTGACTTGTAAGTGAGAATAGAACTTTCGAGATAAAGGCGGAAATAGTATCGATGACGTCAGAGACATATACACTCTCCATATCAAAATATTTAGACGTTCTATATTCACTCTTCAAAATTTAAGAGTACGTTGGTTACCGCTTCCAGTGCATGTAAAGTTTGAAGTTGCCAGTGCAGTGTAAGTCTGTATTGACAGTTAATTGATTTACACATGAATATATCTAAAAAAAATTAATATATGTGCTAGGTAGCTAATTCAAGTAAATATATTATAAGCACTGAATATACATTTATAGTGATGGACAGGCATGCAATTTTATCTATCTCGTATAGTAAGTTCAGAATACGATAGTTATAAGCCTTCTATAATGTAGACGATTTATTATTCTCTATGATTTGAATGCGAAATTATCCCGATTTCCGAGTTTTAATTTCGATATTAAAAAATATTACATACACTCAAAAAGGAATTGAGCGATAGAAAATTGTAATACAGTACTGGCTGCTTTATAAATAAATTGATATCTGCCACTTAAAAGAAAGAAAATCAATCTATAGATTAGATTTGGTTATTACATGTATATTTGATAAAAAGTTAAATTATTTATGACACATGATCTATACTCTATATACCCAAGAAATTATAAAAGATGTGAAAAGACGATTCTTGGATTCTTGTGAAATACTCAAAGAGTTAAAAAAAAAATGTGAAAACGCGATTCTGTGTGAAATAATGCTACGCTATATGTTTCTTTTGAAAAAAAAACCATGATAAAAAAAATTGCACAGGTCTCTTGATATGTGGGATAAGTATACCTGAATGAACACAATTTTATGCAGTGATATATAATTATGTACATGCAACTGACGTCCGTACTTTTCCTTATAATTCATAAAACATAAAACTATCTAATTCCTTTGAAGCCTCCTCCCCCTCCCCTCCCCCCCCCCCCCCCCCCCCCGTCTTGATTAATATTTGGAGACGTTCGTGCAGCTAGGCATTTGAATTATATATTCGGTTTAGATTTAAATCTGGAACATGTGAATATAATTACCATTTACATGTATACAGAATTTCATATTCTATAATGGTAGATTTGTCATTATGAAATGTTCAATTTACGTCTGAGAGAGAGAGAGGAGAGAGAGAGGAGAGAGAGAGATTCCCTCTTAATCCCGATCCTCCTATCCATTTACATAGACCAAAAATTAGTTCTATATCGGTCACACCCATTCTTTATTAAATGTTTTCTGATTTCATAGTCATGGTCACATTCTGTATATTTTTCAGCTTAAAAAGTATCACACGAAGTGCACCTGTGTTGACCTGTCAATCAAAATCACTTGACGCTGTATGCACTGCAATTAAGTAGCCTGAGTTTGAAATGATCTTGAAGTATGATCTTTAAGTAAATCTGATGCAACAAACTTGTGAAAAAATAGAATAAAATAAAAAAATAAAATATCTCGGTATTATGAACTTCGATTGTGGGACGTGGAGACCGGTCCTTTGGATGAGATCGTATAAATCGAGGTCCCTTGTCGCAGAAGGTGCTGGCATAAAAAAGATTCCCCTCTGCTCAATTGCGATAAGTGCCAAAGTATAGGACAAAAATTTGCAGTCTCCACCGCAGAGTGGTGTCGTCTCCATGTAAGTGAAAAATTCTGGAGAGGGACGTTAAACAACATACGTATAATCAATCAATCGATTGCTGAAGAATTACTGTAATTGAATAATCTGTCTTATAGGTATGCTGTCAAATCTTGATATTATAACTTTACAAAACTCAGTGACTATACGTTTAATGTGATACTAACTTAATTCATTATATTTTTTTATAACACCATACACAATTATGCCAAAACATACATGATGGTACGGTGTTCGTTCGTCTGTTTGTTTGTCTTAGAAATGATTGCAAACAATTTTTTTTAAAATTGCTAATGATATACGTATATCTCTTATAGGTGCCAAATGTATTATACAAGATTGATAATGAAAATCAAAGTACCTTAAGTACTGAAAAGACTTTTTTTCCAGTTATTTTTTTCTTTCACAGTAAATATGATATGTATGTTTTTTACACAGAAAAAAAAGCAAATTCTTACAGATTTAGAAGAACGGAAGACTTTTTTGTTGCCATGGCAACAAGAGTCTAGTTATTATTATTTTTCTTCCTGGGTACTTTTTTGTCCGTGAGTGATCTCGGAAACTATACATCCGATTGAGTTGAAACCTTTTTAGGGTTAATAGGAATGTTATGTAGATTTGCGGAACGAAGGTAATTTTGCGCGCACGTGCATGCACGTGCGTGCACGTGCAATGAGTAAAATGACCAATATACTTGATTTTGCCATTACTTTCATGTCTTTTGATGAAATACTTTGATACTCAGAATATAAGGATATATTAATAGTGTAGACAAGATGACATGGTCAGAATGCACATGCATGCACGTGCGCGCATGCGCATTGATTGAAATAACCAATACAATTGATATAGACTTAACTTGTACATTTTTTGATGAATTGCTTTGACACTCAGAATATAAATATATATTAGAAGTGTAGACAAGAAGTCTTGATCAGCGCACAGATGCATGCACGTGCGTTCGCATGCAATGAGTAAAATGACAAATATACTTGATATAGCCATTACTTTCATATCTTTTGATGAAATGCTTTGATACTCAGGATATCAGGATATATATTAATAATGTAGACAAGATGACATGGTCAGAATGCACATTCATGCACATGTGCGCATGCGCAATGATTGAAATAACCTATACAAATGATATAGACTTAACTTGTATATTTTTTGATGAACTGCTTTGAAACTCAGAATATAAATATATATTAGAAGTGTAGACAAGATGACATGATCAGCGCGCACATGCATGCATTTGCATGCACGTGCAATAAGTAAAATGACCAATATACTTGATATAGCCATAACTTTTACATTTTTTGATGTAATGCTTTGATACTCAGAATATATAGACATATTATAAATGTAGACAAGACGACATTGTCAACATGCATATGCATGCACGTGCGCGCGCATGCAATGCTAAAATGACCAATTTACTTGATATAGCTGTAACTTTTATACTTTTTGATGCAATGATTTGATACCCAAAATATGTGGATATATTTATAGTGTTGACAAGATGACATGGTCATCATGGACATGCATGCACGTGCGCGCGCGTGCAATGCGTAAAATGACAGATATACTTAATATAGCCGAATTTTTTTTATCTTTTAATGAAATTTGAATATAAAGATGTATTAAAGTGTAGACAAGTTGACATGGTCATTTTGTACATGCATGCCCGTGCGCGCTCGTGTAATGCGTAAAAAAACCCAATATACTTCATTGCCTTATTTAATGAAGCTTACAGGGAATAAGACACCAAAAGGAAGTTGGGGAGCGTTTGGGGAACATCTGTAACGGTCACCGTTACAATTAATACTAGTTATTATTATGTTTTTATAATATGAATTTAATAGGTATGATACTAAATATTTTCATATACACCTCATATTTTTATTATTATGTTGTGATAATTAATAAATCATTACTCTTTCAATGTTCTGTGTTAAAATTTCTTCATATCATGATTCGACATAAAATTTAGAGCAGAGGGTTATTAGTCCTTGTTTTTTTCAGGTGACAAGCCAGCTAATCAACCAGCAAAGATACAATGGAGATCTGCAAAAGATGTCATTGGTGTGAAAGGAGAGCCTGTTAAATTTATGTGTATATTTAGTGGACAGTAAGTATTCACTGATTAAACAGTCATTCCAGAGAATTTGAATATTTTTCAGAATTGCAACTGAATTTGTATATGGGAGTTCCCATGTTAAATGGAAAATTGCACATTTCACGATATCTCTTAAAATAAACAAGATATTCTTGTGAAAATTAAGTGATATATAATGACTGTGATATTGTTTCAACCCCATTAGGGTTTGAAAATGAAATTCTGGAAAATAAGGGGTTTCTAGGGGCCAAAGTTGAAAACTTACCTTTGCCCATAACTTTTTTATTTCTCAATGAATTTTTGAACAGTTTTCTATTCTGGGTTTAGCTTAAAAAGTACAATCTAAAAATTATGGTCAGTGGGGTCATTTTTTGACCCCTTATAGGAATTACAGAGGACTGAAATAATGTAATTTTTATTTCTAAAATTATGAAGTAAGAGTTATCTCCCTTTGCACATCTGTTGGCAGGCTTACATACTCTTTAGATTTCAAGTTTTGGTATGCAATTGACAAGTACTTCCGATTTTATGAATCTCTGTATTTGTGTATTGGAGTTCCCATGTTAAATGGAAAATGCACATGTCATGATATCTCCTAAACTAAATAAGATATTCTTCTGAAAATTGAGTGATATTATGACTTTGATATTGTTTCAACCCCATTAGGGTCTGAAAATAAAATTCTGAAAAATAAGGGATTTCATAGGGCTTATATTGAAAACAGATTTTCCCATGTAACTTTTTTATTTCTCAATGAATTTTTGAACAGTTTTCAATTCTGAGTTCAGCGTAAAGGGTACAGTGTAGAAATTATGGTCCATGTGGTCACTTTTTGACCCCTTATAGGTGTTTTAGAGACCTGAAATATAGTAATTTCCAAAATAACAATTAATTTAAGAGTTATCCCCCGTTGCAAAGCTCTAGTGAGAATTACATACTCTTTAGGTTTCCATTTTTATAAGCTTCAGAAAACTTGCGGTCTGATTATTTTTTTTTATGTTTTTCATTTTCTTAGAGTTATTGCACTTAAAGGTCCTTGAGATTTAAAGCGTCGAAAAGCCCTCCGTATTTGTTGAACGACAAAAAGGTCTAGCTATTATTATTATCCTGAACACTTTTTTGTCCTAGATTTAAAGAGAACCTTTCAATATACATTTTTAGCTCTTCTGAGCCAAAGGCTCAAAGAGCTAATGCTATGGCCATTTGTGCGGTGTGCATAAACTTTTTAGAATATGGGCCATAACTCAAGAACCCCTTGGCCAATTATTGTCAAATTTGTCACAGGGTATCCTTGACCCAAGGACTCCCGTTTATACTTAAACTAGGGTTGTGACCCTTAAACAAGGGGAGATAATTAGAAAAATAGAAACAAAAGTACTGGTTGCTAAAAAATCTTCTTCTCAAGAACCACTGGGCAGATTATCACCAAACTTACACAAAAGGATAAGGATATGTTGTAGATTAAAATTTGCACGTGGATTTACCCTGGGGCAAAGGGCATGGTCTCAAGGTTACTTCAAAGTTGACCAAAAATTACATTTTATTAAAATGTTGATATTTTGCTTACTATAAGGACTAGGATCATGAAGTCTTGTCAGTTGATGCATCTAAAGACCTCATATCATGTTGACTCAAAGTAGGTCATGGTGACCTACTTTTTTTAATTTTGCGGCCATTCTTTTTCAAAATGATTTAGAGGCATATTTTGAACAATTTAAGGCCTATGATCATCAAACTTTGTCAGTTGATGTATCTTGGGTCCTCAAAGTACGTTGACTAAAAAGTAGGTCACCTTGACCTACTTTTTGAATTTTATGGCTAATTTTTTTCAAAACAAGTAAGGTCATTAATTCAAATACTGAGAGATTTAGAATCATTAAATCTTGTAAGAGCCATAAAACATTTTTGTTAAAAAGTAGGTCACAGTGACCTACTTTTTGAACTTTGCAGGCATTCGATTTCAAAGCGTCCTAGAGGCATAATTTGGACATTTTAAGGCCTATGATCATAAAACTTTGTAATGTGATGCATCTTGGGTCCTCAAAAAACATCAACTGAAAAGTAGGTCACTGTGACCTACTTTTCAATTTAGTAAACTTCTGTATCTCTAAGTGAATCAATGGGCCCGGCCATTTTTATGATATTTATGATTTTAAAAAACCTTGGTATCTCCAACACGGAAATCTCGAATGCCTCGCTTATCTCGAAGTTGATTTACGGTCCTAAGTGCCATAAAAACATGCATTATCTCGAAGTCCAACAAATTTTTCGCTCCTCTGAATTCACACCTTTGTACACAATAATCCAATTATGCTAATTTTATGGTCTGTTGAACGTTTCCGTTAGGTCTAGCACAGGCTTCATGAGACCACTGCTGATAATCACACCTTATTAGCCCCAAGCTGTTGTTTTTGGTAGTTAAATTTAATTACGCAGGCCAGGTGATTTGGAGGTGTTAATAAAATACACACTCAGACATATGATGACACGATAATGAAACAGTGGCTTGGGGATGATCACTGGAATAGGAATTTAAATTTATCGAAAATACACGCTTATACACATTATTACATATCAAAGTAAGCACTGAACACATCAAAGTGATATTGAACTCAAGAAATTAAACAATTAAAGACATTATTTTGAGTTTAAAAGTCAGTACCAAAAATCTAAATCTTCAGTACACATTATTGTCTGATAAGCAATCTGTATAACGAAGGACCCGGTAGCCAATCCGGGGGGATAGTTACATTATGTGACTGTGGTGTAAAAAGAAAACTTAAAGTTCATACAATCGAAACAAAGTTTCAGGCTATTACGGAAGTCGAAAAAAGGTACCATGAATCCCAGTGAATAAGATTCTAGTGCTTCTTCCAGTGAAATTGTTATTGGTGTTTTAATTCACCTGACTTTTTTATCAGATGTAGTGCTTAGACTTCGTTTCATTTTCATTCATTATAAACACGCTTTTATCTGTTGATAAATGTTATAAATTGTAGTGCTTTTGTTTATGCATATTGGCAATTTCAATAAATTATTGTAGAATGATAATTCCTGTTTCCGTCTTAATCCTTACTACAGTGATCGGTTTATCATTTACAAAGTGCAACATATATCCGGGTATCAGAAATCCTGAAACCAGCATGAATCCATGATTATCACTATTGAAAGCGATCAAAATTTGTAAAATGTAAGTGTTGCAGTATTAAATAAAATAATATATGCATTATAAGTGTATATGCAAATGTATTTTTAAAAAGATATACACTAAGTACGAACTGAAACATTTACCGCTTGAATTATGCACGTGGTGGAAAGGGGGGTGGGGTGGTAATTTCTTGTTAATAGAACATGTAACATAACAATATCGGTTCAAAAATCATCAACTTCGATATCTTGAACACTCGGATATCTCGAAGTTTTTCCTCAGTCCCACCAAGTTCGAGATATCGAAGTTTACCTGTAATTAAATATTTCAGGTACTAATTGGCTTAGAATCATCAAACTTTGTCAGTTGATGCATCTTGGGTCTTCGGAGTACAACAATTGATAAGTAGGTCAGCGTGACCTACTTTTGAAAATTTATGGCTTTAATTAAATATTTCAGGTACTAATTGGCTTAGAATCATCAAACTTTGTCAATTGATGCATCTTGGGTCCTTTTGAAATTTTATGGTTGTATTTAATATTTTCGGGAACTATTTGGCTTAGAATCATCAAAATTTGTCAGTTGAAACATCTTGGGTCCTCGCAGTAGGTCGACTGAAAAGTAGGTCACCGTGACCTACTTTTCAATTTATATGACAATAATTAAATATTTTGGGTAGTAATTGGCTTAAAATCATCAAACTTTGTCAGTTGATATCTTGGGTCTTTGGAGTAGGTCGACTGAAAAGTAGGTCACCATGACCTACTTTTGAAAATTTATGGCTTTAATTAAATATTTCAGGTACTAGTTGGCTGCATTTATCAGTTGTCAGTTGATGCATCTTGAGTCCACAGAGCTAGTCGACTGAAAAGGAGGTCACTGTGACCTATTTTTGAAATTTTATGGCTTTATTTAAGGAATGTTTTTAAGTTTTGTCTGGTTTACACACCAATAATTCACACTAAACTTAAAAACATTCCTTATATTTACATTTTACAAGTTTAAAAGCACCAATAATATACTCAATATTTGAATTTCTTGCTGCCCTATATCGGTACATTTTTATTTTCGTCTCTGTAGTTTCATTGTGACGTAACTTTAGCTCGAGTTTCACCGTGTATATTTCTATGCGTGAGTATACACAAAAATGACTTTCAAATCAATTTCACAGTTGGCTTAGTAGAAAAACACAGCAAATTTAAATATTTAAATATATCAGGTATTTACTGGCTTAGAATCATCAAACTTTGTCAGTTGATGCATCTTGGTTCCTCAAAGTATGTCATCTGAAAAGTAGGTCACTGTGACCTACTTTTGAAATTTTATGGTTATAATTTTTAAAATATTTTAGATATTAATTGGCTTAGAATCATCATACTTATTTGATGCATCTTGGGTCCTCAGAGAATGACCAATTATCAGGTACTAATTGGCTTAGAATCATCTTGGGTTCTCAGAGTGTTTCATCTAAAATGTAGGTCATGATGACCTACCTTTGGTATTTCAAGGCTTTTTCTAAATATACAGGATACTTAGAGGCTTCAAATAGAAGTGATAGGTTGTACAGTTTATCAGAAGAGCAATTCAAGGCCCTTGGGCCTCTTGTATTTCATACCCTTCATATAGAACACGAAAATATCTTCCGTATGTAAGGTTTTGGACTTCGGTTATGTCACTTCTGGTTTCTACCAGAGAAAAACTGAAATTCCTAAGGAAAGTAATATCCTGTTCATTTCGATACCCATGTCTCACAAATTAACGATATAAATTCTTGAAACCAATACCAAAAAAGTAAGTGACAGTGATTTTTGACTACTGATACAGTGGCTCCTGCTTTATCCAATAGTCAGGTTGCCAGTCTAAT